CAGCGCCCGTCCGAACTCGAAGCCCAAAGCCTCGCTGTTCGAATGCTGAATGCACACTGCTGGGCCACTAAAGTAGTTAGACAAGGACGCCAAGTCCAGAGTCTTTGCAGGCAGGAAAGGACCAAGCCCACGTGGTTTCGGCTTTCACTGTCGCGTACTCGCGCACAAGGTTGGCCAGGCAAGACAGAATTCGTTGGCGCGCTGGGGATACTTGGACATGACAGGCAAAGTGAGNNGTACTGGCACGGCTTCCTCAAGATAAAGCGCCTTGACTCGATGCAAAGTTCATATTTGCTCACAGTGGTGTAGTGGTTCAATCACGGAATTTCTCAAGAAATTCAATTCCGACTCTATGCCGAAGCGGCATGGGACAGCACTGCCTAGCGACGCAGTGTCCTTGTTACTGGGAGCGGCCCCTTACGGTAGACAACGGACCACAGGCGAAGTACGGCATGCGGGTGCAAAACTCCAACGAAGGCTGTCTACCAGCAGCAATGACTGACAAGGAAACTTGTATTAGTAGCCATAGCCTATAAGCCATCACTCCCCGCCCGTGACACTTGCTAGGAACCTCTGCANNGGGCCGTGGTCACCACCGGCCTCGCGCGCGGGGTGCTGGGAGTGTTGAGGAAATTGAACAACTTCGATGGAAAACTGCGAGAGCTTCGCCCAGTATACAAGATGATGCTAAGAGGAGGCCGTGGCGAAAAATCGAACTCTTGCGTTTACCAGAAAGCCGCATCTGCCTACGGCTTGGTGAGCCACCGGCGGAGTCTCCGGGTGCCCATGAATTCCCAACTCAACCCCGCTTAAAGCTAACACGGCGTAGTTCAGTCCGAGGGCTTCGTAACTCCGTCAACTTTGCCCGGACCTTCGCTGCCTGAGTTCCGTGCGGAATTATCCACTTTCGTGGAGACTCCGAGTGGCTCCGTCCAAGTGATCCAGGCAAGTCACCGACATCTCCGAAGCCCCAGTTCTCGAGCAAGAGGGGCCTTGCCTTTTCGAAAGCCACGATGTCCAGCAGTTTCCTCAGTGCAGAACTTGGCATGACCTGAGACAACTCTGGGATCTGTGCTGCCGAGGCTCTGTTTCAGCGCAGCGGTCAGGACCAAGGCATCGAGCCCTGGCGAGCATTACAGCGACTGCGGGACATCACGATGATCCACTCACTACCTGCGGGAATGCATGCGACGCGACAGAAAGCAAGGATACAGAGGCGAACCTCAAAGAGCTGCTTTGACCAATCCCAAACAGGTACGCTACTGCACAAGCAGGAAACGCCGTTGAAAGGCCGCAGACAACTCCTTCAAGTTCTGTCGCCCTGGAGCGCCCTTGGCACCGCCCCACCCGCACCTGCACGGGGAACCAGCCGTTTTGCGAAGCTCTGCATCTGAAGGGAACCACGCACCTGCATCCGGGCAGGGCGAAGACTGGACTCTTACAGTTCACGCCGGCACCAGAGAAAAAACTAAAACCGGAGCAACCTGACTTGCACCAACATCAGCCCTGGATAAAGCAGGACGGCAACTCTGTAAAGGGATGTAAATGGGGCATCAGCTACTGCTACAATAAGACCGAACCGCCAATCAGGGGATGTGCCCCGCCTGCATGATGCACCCACCCGTAATGTCTTCTTCCGTGACCTGTGGCTGTACATTGTCACCTTAACTGCGTCGAGACTAACACATCCAGGGCAGGTCGAGGTTGTTTGCCGTTAAGTACATGGCAAGTTGACTCCCCACCGCCACCCACTGCTCACGAAATGCATCCCTTGGCAAGTTCTGGGCTGGGCTGAGGAGCTAAGGTTAGTGGATTCGCATCAAAGCCAAGCAGAGCCACGTGAGATGGCCAAGAGCAGAGCACTCACGATAGCGTTCTTGATGTAGCCCCCCGTGAGAGCGAACTTCATCGCAATCTTCTCCCAGTCGATTCCCGGAGTCAGAGGGACACCTATCTCTCACGCAAAAATGAAGCATCAAGGAGACCGTATAGCCTGGAAAGGGCACGCGCGCACACGCGCCTACGCGCCACACGGAGACACATGGGCAGCGCACGCACTCACGCGCTGCTGCATGGCATCACTGGTGCCCTGCAATCTGGTATGACGTGGCACAAGGTGCACAATCAACTCAGGACTTGGTAACCGGCTGGTGTGAAATGCAAGGAATCCCACGGACCCCACCTGACTTCGTATAGAGGTTCCAGATCTCGAGTCTCTGGATGTGGTCGGGCTTGCTGAAGGTGAAGACCGAGGTAATCCGACGATACATGGCCTCCGCTTGAAAACAACTCTACTTCCCCTGCGGCTGTCAAACCCCTGCACATTGCGATGCAGCAAGACAGCACAAAAAAGAGTTGCGACGCTGCAAGCCACGCGACCTCATCCAGGTCGAAAGGGCGGTTCGTGGCCAGGAAAATCATTCCCTCGTATCCTTGCATGGCCACCACATACTACGACAGTGTCATCAGCCATATCGTAGGAAAGAAAAATGGGATCTGCAATACCCTGAACCTATGTTTCGACCATTACAGACCATGCTCCCGGGTCCCTGCTTTGAGCCCTGCAACTCGCAACCGAAGACTCAAGCATTTCAGCTCCTCTTGCCTTTCTGAACTGGCTGCTAAAGCCCTGAAATCCCAAAACCCAAAAAACAATCTCCAAATCTAAGCGGAATCTCTCTCCATAGCTGTCAGCAAAGCCGTCATCTCGGAGTTGCCGCCTGTGGAGCGCTGCGAAAAGAGCGACTCGCACCTGCAGATCGGAGAGGAAAGAGGACGAAATATCAAACACGGTACGTACTGGGAACGAGAATTGTCGAACCCATTTTGGAGACATGCTGAACTGAACTTGTAGTCCACCACACCGTTGCAGAACATGATCTGGCATGCCCGACAAGAACCATTCCAAGAGCATGCCTTGCACGCCTTACGAGTCCAAAATGAGCACCAGGCTGTGGCGCGAGAGCACGAGGGATACCCTAGCCCAGGACGGCACCGTAGCGCGAAACGGATGAGGAAGTGCATGGAGCCGTGCCAAGAGCACGGTTTGGGAAGCTGGAAACACGCGTCGCGGCCAAAATTATGGCCACAGTATAATTTCGGGAGGTTTCAATGCGCGGGACCGTGGCAGCAAGAGCAGTCGCATCAAAAGATGTGCGGCATTATGGCGGAATACCACTGCGGACTCAGGTGAATTCTTTGGCAACGGCGCCTGCAATGTGCCTTGCATATACCTTGCTGTTGCACGCTGCCAAAAGCCTCGAAAAACGCACAATTTACAGGCAAACGCATCTAGCAGAAGGGCGCAAATCCTTGAAACATCCCATATTTTTAGAGGTTTACAGTGTTAAAACCTGGGTGGCGGCGGCGTTTTCGCAAAGACTCCGAGCGAAACTTTGTCTCGCCTTCCAGTACACTTCCTGCAGAGGCCTTATACGCTTGTGACAACTGTCTTGTTCCACATCCTTGCACGGTATGTTGTACAAAAAAGCATAAATGCTGTAAATACCAGCGCTTTGGGCACGGTCGCCACAGGCATGGATGCTTGTG